GGCACTTCAATGCCGCTTGACCCGGTACCTCGCGGATGCTTTTTAGGCAAAATGCCAAGACCCATGGATGGCATACGACTAGGTATCAGTTTCAGTTCGTTGTATCTGATTTATACTGCAAGCTTTTAGTAGACACCATAATGATGCTCGATGTATTGAGCTTGGAAAACATTACTATATAAGGTCTCGACGACAACCTCTCCTTTCGTATTATGAATCAAGCAGTACTACACACCTATCAATTATTACTATATTCACTAAAAAGGGATCAAAATGGTCGCCTTTTCTAGCCTCTTTGTGGCTTTGGCCGTCTTTGCCGGAGTTCTCGCCGTGCCAACTGGCCTTGATCCTTCACCAAGCAGCGTGAACATTACAGAGCGTGGCATTCATGATTTCGTTCTTGGACTTCACAATGACGTCCGTCGTCGCGCTAGCATCAACTACGACCAAAATTATCAAACTGGCGGAACTGTCAACTACTCGCCTTCTGGTACTGGGTTTTCCGTTAACTGGAACACTCAAGATGACTTTGTTGTTGGTGTTGGCTGGACGACTGGATCCACTTCGTAAGTTTTCATTTCTTCTCTGTAGTTCATATAATTTGCTGACAATGTAACTTTGTAGACCTATCAACTTCAGCGGCTCCTTTGGTGTCAGCGGCGGAACTGGCCTGCTCTCGGTCTACGGCTGGACCACCAATCCCCTTGTTGAGTACTACATTATCGAGAGCAACTCGAACTTCCCCGCATCTGGCACTCAAAAGGGGTCTGTCACTCGCGATGGATCATCTTACACGGTATGGGAGAACACCCGGGTAAACGAGCCTTCTATCCAAGGCACCGCAACCTTTAACCAGTACATATCCATTCGAAATTCTCATAGAACTAGCGGAACTGTGACAGTTGAGAATCACTTCAATGCATGGAAGTCACTTGGCTTAGATCTTGGAACCTTTAATTACCAAGTGATTGCTATTGAAGGCTGGGGCGGCAGCGGTTCTGCATCTCAGACTGTCAGCAACTAGCAACAGATATTGGATACAGAATAAACTTGTGGTGGCTATTATCATGTAGGAAACAGAGCTGTCTATCATTGGGTGAGAAGCAGTCATAGAGGTGCATACAGGAGGGGCTCCGATAGATAGGTACTTTTATATAAATTACGGCTTGTTATTTTTCTGGAAATGCGCGATTACTTGTCTTGTTGTAGTTTCCCAAGCGGCCTACTCACTTGTAAGTTTTAGAGCTTCGTTTTCACTCACTGTTTATATATTATGCACAAAACTATTCAACTAAACGCCTGCTAACTCGTACCCGTAGCTTTCTACTGGCCATGACGACTCGTGTTTCATCGGTTTTATATATACATCCAGCTTCGTAAGTAGTCGTTACATCAGTATATGAGCAATGTGGCTTCATGCAGGACCACAAATAGTTTTCGTTCTTAATATAAATCGTATTTACATAATAGACCAATATGATTCTCATATGAACATCTCTTCAATCTGATATATTTACAAAGCCCCTGAGTTATCATTGTTAGACAATGAAGTAGCAAGAAAACTTCAGCACCGATCTTCAGCCTGTATGATGATAAGTAGAGGTACATATCATACGAAACAGCTGTGCTTACAGAAACAGCCAAACAGAAGGGCATCTTCCTCATACGCAGTACCAATGGATGCTTAAGATTGCGTATATGATATTTGGTTGACTTGCATAAACTGGGTAGAAGATGCCGCAGCACCGTTCAACCATGCAGGAAACCAAGTGTTAAGTTGAATATTCATCGCATGAATTGGCTGCTGCGGAGGTGTGTGGAACTGTGCTTCCAAAACGCCGTTAACATAGAAAGAGATGGCAGCTTCTTGGTAGTCAATCATATAATTGTTGTAGCCGGCGCTCGGATCCCAGGTTGGAAAGTACCCATGAGACCATTCCTTGATTCCCAGGCGATAGATGGTGAATGCAATCTCCCATTTGCCCTGGTTCAAGTACACCTCAACATCAATCTCATCGCTTGTTGAAGTCCCCTGGTACAAAAAAATGCTAGAGATGACTCCAGGTAAATTTGGGACTTTGAACTGAGCTTCCAGTTGCCCATAGGAATATTGAGCCTTAGAAACAATCTCTCCCCCGTTTCGGGTACCAGCGGGAATCTCAAAGTTCAGAACGCCTCCTCCACTTGGGTTCACGTTGTTAGATGACACCGATCCTAGCCCCGCAGCCCAATTGGCCTTTGTATATAAGCTTGAATTGAACGTGGTGCAGTCATCGATGAAACTGGACTGCGCTTGAGTGAATGGTAAAAGTACAGCGAGAGCTGCAAACGCATTTAAGAACTTTGCCATTGTGTCGATAGTAGGTAAACAATTAATCGTTAGTTCGTGACGTGTCTAAGTGAATAAAGCTGAAGGAGAAAGGTCCACTGAACTTGAGATATGCCAGAGCACCAAAATCAGTGAGAACAATGAAACAGTTGGAATATATATACCTGATCAAAACCAATGAGTGTTCTCAACTAGATCACTAATACGGAATTAAAGGTCCAGGATGTGTTGTTCTTTGTTAAATATGTCTGTGATGAATTAAGAAGTCTAGTTTCTATATACGGAAGGTCATAACCTGCGATTCTTCCACGAATCGATTGATCCCTGCTATTGCTATATAGAGCCTTGTGAAGATGCTAGATTTCGTATTAATTTAGCTTCTCAAGCTCTTTCTGGAGATAAGTGTCAAGCACTTCGCCTATTTTGTAATATAAACCGAGGTATAGTATTTGACGTATTCTATGAGCGTGAATAATGGATAAGACAATGCGTGTATCCCAAAATGAAAAAAAAATTCCAAAATGAGAAACAGTTAGCGATTAGAATGTAGGCTGTAAAACTTACGGTGAAGCCGTGAATGATGAACATTAACAACGGTTAATCACTGGCGGTGAAAGAATTTTAATATTTCGGGAATCTCATAGCGTTTCCGCGGCACTCGTATTACTACTCACGGAAATAGAAAAACCTAGAAATTGTTTTATGAACTGCTTTTCTAGTCATTGGTTGCTGGTCATTGAAATTTGAACTGCTATACCAATGTCGTGCCGTCCAAAATTCGAAACTCCTAGGAGCATTAGCTTAAGCAGAGCATCCGGTCACTAACCAGTGTGAGTAGTTCTACTTGAGATATAACACCTTCAAAAGAAAACTACTTCTTAGAGAAAAAGATGATGATATATGTTGATTCAATTGCGCCAATTTCGGGCGATAAGAAGTAATTGAATACGAAGACTTTAGAGCTTATCATCTAGATTATGTCGTGAAACTAGATTGTGTACGCTCGTAGCTTAAAGCGATTATGGTAGAGACAGCAGCTACTGCATAGCACTAGTACATGCCCTGAAGTGATGAACGTCGCTAAGCCTTAGACAACATAAGCCCACGGAGATTCCGCGTTAATCAATCTCACCCAAGTTTATGCTATGAAACAATTCAACTCACCAAAGTCTCAGTAACTGCGTATTTACGATTTACCTTGGCTTATTCTTGTCTCTAAATACTGTACAATGAAAGACCCTCTATATTACGTAGTAAAACGAGGCCCGATTTCAATTCCAAAGACCATGCATCTCAAACCCAGGCGTAAAGTACTCCAAATATTATCTAACGCGCGGGCAAGTACTCCGCGTTAGGGCTCTGGATCAATCACAAAATCACGGAAACCGTAGGGACTAATTCACAACTGTGATTCGACGACCGGAAATTGATGGTATTGCGATAAAGCTTCAGGTTCCTGGTAGCAGATAATCAAGAGCATGTCCCATGAAAGGTTGCGCCTGCTTATAAGAATCGCAATGTAAGTTCCCACGTCTGTTGAAACTACATTTTTTCTATCCCATGCACGGCGATTCATGTAAAGAGCTCGAGCAGCAACAATACGAAGATACTTCATGATTTTTAGGCCCCCGTCCATCAAGGGCAAAGAAGACCCCAAATCAATTCCGAAGCGATAATGGGAGATGCTATGAAATATCTTTTTGTCCAAAGTACATGGTATGGAATTTTAGGCTGCCTAATTACAGCCTTAAATAATGCTTAAGGCAACCTAGAAAGAATTAACCATTACTAACAGCACACACCACTATAAGCACTGTCAGAGAACTCAAGATCTCAACGAACTATTGGCCATCGATCCATACTTTCAGACTCTTGCGCATTTAGGTTCTATGTTGTTTCGTATAATGAAGTTCTTTGTATTTGCAAAGCCTAATTTGAAGATAATACATCCACACCCCGTGTGATTTTTTGAGCGTTGCCTACTCCCTCATTTGTTCCTCACTAGGACTTTCCAGGTTGTGCACAGGAAAACAAGGCGAGAGAGTACGGAGTATGCAGTTGAAAGCCCAGGTTATCGATATATTCCGCTTATATAACAATTGTCTCTCATAATAGAGCAATCTGTCTTACATCTCTGCCATTTCTCCCACAAGACGGTATAGTATATACGGCTATATTATAATTATAGTCAGTTCCGAGCCTTGATATCGTACTCATTATTTCTCTTCAAATTTTGTGTTATGTTTTCAAATTTGATACATTTTATACAATAACACTGGGATTAGTATAAATACTGGTTGAAGCTGAATGTTTTACTTTCTCTATTAAATGAAATTCAGTTTATCCCAAAATAGGTTAGATACGCAAGCTCTTATTTTCTACCACTTATCACTATTATCATTTCTATGACCATACTCACTTAAAGCATGACTGCCCGCAGAACTAAAACTGTTGACACTTCGGGGTCGGTGATAAGATTTGCGAGGAAGGCTCTTAGGTGGGTTGCCGTGTTCCTTGGGAAGAGATTTGCGCTTGGCATTGATATATAGGGGCGATTCTTCGACAGCACCGGCAGGCATCTCTGGTGACTGTGGATGCTGCATTGCAGGGTCAAGAGGCATAGTCGGGGGGCTGGGAAGGAACGTGCATTCTTTTTTTAGACGAATACAGTTTACACATTGATTGTGGTCTTCAGCTGTGATACAGCGAATTTTACGTCGCCGACAATGACCTGAATTCTCATTAGCCACTATATACTAAAGCAGATTAAAAAAAGATACTGTTGTTAAACCGGCTGACATACCGCAAGCAATTGATGTTTTATAATGTCCGAGCTTGTTCTTCTTCCTAGATAAGACTGTTTCAGGCTCGAAATTTGGCAAATTTGATGTTCCAACGAGCTCACTTCTTCCTCCATTTTTCTTATCATTATTCATAGAATTGAGACTGATAACACTACTTCGTCTTTTCCGGGGTTGATAGTCGACGTCATCGGTCCGTTGGGGGGAACAATTTGAGTCGATACAACAAACAGAGCTCGGTGACGGCAATTTCGTAGTGGTATCATGAAGAATAACTTTGACCCATGATGATATACCTCTATTAGCGGCATATGTAACAAACTTAGTCCCTTGAGGTATGTCTTCTTTGAGTGCAATCCAGCGAGCCCACGTTATCTCATCGATCAAACGCTTGACTATCGGGCTTGGGTCAGCCCCAACATCATCAGCCAGCTTAGCATGGGCAAATAGCTTGACTGTGGCATATGAGAGTAGTGCAGGGTAATCTTTCAGCCTTTGAGGCCGACTTATCTCGGAGGAGTGGGCGAGTGATACATGGGTAAAGCTACGTAGAGATGACGATCTCGCAGAAACAGGGTGGCCTTGTTTCACCCATTCAACAACATCTATGTTTGGCTCTATGTTTGGAGTGTAGTCAAAGGACTTCAACATCGCAAAAACAGACGTGTTCTCTCCTCTTTTCATGGATAACTGATGATATTGCGACAAGCCTGTGTTGGAGTTTTTGAGGTCTCGGTCTCTTTCGAAGCTACTATCAGACGAAGAATTGGTAGAACATATGCTCTCAGTCAACCCTCTCATACAATCTGATAGCAGTTGACGATCTTGACTCTTAGCTGCGTGAATACGTGCCTCTACAAGTGCATCAAGTTCCGCAATGTTCAAGTAGTCCAAACAAGTATTCATTATTGAAAGATGACCGATGCCGATTGGATTCAATCGTAGATTCGAATCGAGAACAGAGAATCCATTTCCCTTCAAGAAGAAATCGCGCACTGATTCGTGTATAACTTGAACGATTCTAGTGTTGCCATTCTCCTGGTTAAGCGATCCTGCTCCGGCATAGACGGATATTTTCTCAACTCCGCTGTCTTGGAAATCGTCCGCAGCGACTCTCTTCACTTCAACTAGGCCCCTGGAAACACTCCTAATTTGCTTCTCGAGCTGCTCATCGTTTTCAGTAAAATTGACTGATTGGCGCCACTCTTTCAATGAACTAAGCGCGGGCTGCCTGATGAATGCCATCACATGGTGCCACTCGTGAAGTCGAAGAGGTGCCGTAGCTAAAATGGCCCATTGGAAGAACTTAATGGTCAACTCTCTCATCTCTGGATTGAGATTAGAAAACATATTAGAAAATAGAGTTTCAAGTGCATCTGGAATATCCATGACTTGTTTAATCAGGAATGGCATACCATAGCCATTATCCCAGCTCTTGATTACATCTTCCATCACTAAAGCAACCCAAAGAAATATCCCTGCAGATTTTCTCAAGATGGTATCCCTTAAGAGCTCCCATTGAGGTATTTGCGTAACAATACCGAGTTGGAATTTATAATCCACGTATGTCGCAATGTCATGACTGTTATGCTGTTCGATGATTATTTCCGGACAGTTGCTAAGAGTAATTGTGGGGAAGTGTCTACTAGATAGACAGACATTGAGGTCAACTCCTTGATTGTACGCCGATGAAGTGACTTTCCGCCAGAAGTAGACCATAGGCCGTATTTTAGGTTCATCACACTCATCAATAGCGTCAATGAAGATAATCGTCTTCTTCCTTGGCTGATCCATAAACATTGACTCAAAGAACGACTCAAGTTCAGTTTCTTGCCAAGCGACCGTCGCCGCCCCACTATAAGGCACTTTCTTTTTCTCCCATAGCTTTTGCAAGCGTTTGATCTGCATTCTATCTTCAGGAAGAAGCTGGTATAGCAGGGATTTGAAGAGACCAAGACAAGAGCGCTCAAGCTTGTTGCCATTGGCACAGAAGAAGAAAGCAGCAGAACAGTGATTGGATTCGTCTTGCTCCAGAGCGGCTCGGCGGAAAGCTTCCTTGATGAGAATTGATTTCCCTGAGCCTGGCTTTCCTTTTAACCAAAGAAGACCGTGATTCTTTTGTCGATCGCTACCATTGAACCATTCTTGATATATAACATGGTTAAACAACCATGAACAAGTATTATCAGCTGGTTTCTCCAGACTTTGGTGTCGAGTATTAATAGCTGGAAACCATAGAGACCCCAGGCACACATCGTTGACTTGGGTGTCGTTGGTAACGTGCAGTAACTCTTTCGACGAAGTGGCACTCAATATTGACCCAGGAGATTGCGTTTGCCGACTTCGACGAGGTTTGGTCGAGTTTAGCCTCGCAAGGGAGCTGTATATAGAATAAAGCTCCCCAGCTATTTTGCGATAATTTGGGTCATCTATTCCAGAATATCGACACATTTGTTGATGGTTGGCTTGAAGAGTCTCGGAATGCTCACGATGATCTCCAATCGAAGATGAGTAATCGGGCACAATTTTTTTCCCAAGCTTTGCCAAGCTGAGACCCTCTTGGAATGTCTTAACCTGAAAGTCGTATTCTTGCCACAGCTTAGAGAACTGTTCTTGCGCGCGATTTAGATCCGAAGACTTCAAGCCCAGCGCGTCAAGAATAGTTGGTGTTGTCTCCATGCCCAAGGAGCTAATAATAGATCGTGCTATTTCACCGAGCGCCGCGACATCTTGGCTACCGCGGTGTGGAGTGCCCAAGAAAACAATTTTTGCAGTGCACTCTACGATGCTTTTATACTCGGGTTCAATCGACGTAGATGATTGTGCGAGCATCTGGAGGCAGAAAGTAAATATGAGAATCTATAGCGGAGAGTGGAGACTACATGTAACTTACTTCCTTAACAATAATGCCCCCAAGGCTATGAGCAACGAATATCAACGGGCGATTAGGGATTCTTTCTCTACAGAGGGCAAACAAAAGGTCTTTGCTATGAGAGAGAATACTGTTCTGATTTATCGCACCAGCTGCATACTTGGTGATCTTGCTGTCGTACCCAAACATAAGGATGCGTGAGTTAGGACATTGCTTTGGAAGCAGGTCGCTGGGCCAGAATATATGCGCGACTGGGGCGCCATTCTCCATGGTACATGTAGGAGACGCTGATTCTGTACTGTCTATCGGCGCAGCTTTTGACGATTTCCGACGCAAATGGACAGCCACGCGATGAATGACGCTTCCACGTTCTGTTTTGCCGACTGTTACCGGGGTAGTGGCTGGCAATTCATGCGCCCCGGGAAAGTCAAGGTGGTAGGCCCATGATTTGAATGGATGACCGTGTAAACCATGGACGAAGACGACGCTGCACAGCGGAGGTCAGTCGATATACTAACTTGAACGTGGAGTGACAGCGTACTCAACGATGGGGGAGCCGTTTTCAGGCTCGTATGCAACAGATATCCCAGTGTCTAGGATACGACTCCGCATCTCGGATCGTACATACAATGAGCCCCGTGCAAACACGAAAGCTTCAACGATTGAATGATGAGATTGAAATACTCGGAAACTAGGCCGATATGTATCAGTTTAAGTTGGCGTCCGAGGTGCCTAACGTAAAGCCTAGCCTGTACCGCAATCTCATTGGACGTTGGGATTTAGATTAGGCTTCCTTCGGCACGAAAGTGTGCACGCTGACGTTTTTTTCGTTTAATGGGAGTCAATATATATCGCTTAACTTACGAATAACTGATTTACTATACTTTAAGAAAAAGAGACGTCGTACTTAGGTTTTACTAATAACGCAACTTAACGCAACCTGATTAATATAGGCCAACCCAGGCTTTCGATAGGTACATGCACGACAAAGCTGACGTATTCCCATTAATCTAGCAGCCGCAGCAAAAGTACATATGTAGTAAGGCGGCTGCATTTCTTCACGCGATATATGCAGTGAAGTTACCTTCATAACTCATCTTTGCGACTCAAGTTAGGCCTTATTGGGTAAATGCACGTGTGGCTATGTTTTGGCCAGTCAAATTACTGTTTTAATCAACCACTCTTCAAGGCGGCAAACACCAAGCCTTTCTACGGGACAGTTGGTGGGTACCTCACACCTACTACTCTCACTCAAGTTGATGATTGGAGTCGTGTTTAACTTCTCAAAATCTAAAGAATCATACGTACTTTACAATTTAGCTGAGCGTATTCCTGTCTCTAAATAGAAAGGAGAAATTCTCCATATAGGATAGTGTAGCCTCTGCAGTACCCGCTTTTGATATTGCCGAATCGGCACCGATCATAGGGAGCGTCGCTCAAGTAACCCTATTCAGCGATCCGTGACCTCAGTGACGGAGACTGTTTGTAAGGTCCGGGCATCGGTGCAGCAGAGATGTTAAAAATTAATGATATCCATCTTCTTTCTATAAGAACGTCTTCTTGTCGCCTCAAATAATGGCTCAGCTTAGCCTGATTGTCGACTTCGCCTCTTACGCACCGACTCTTGTTCAATTTCACATAAATCGATACGAAACGTTCTGAATACTTGAATATATCTCTTCTGATATGGCGAATGAAAAGACTGAAGAAGCAGATGCTGAAAGGGTGAATAGTGAAAGAACCTCAACATCGCTTACAACGCTAACAGGAAACAGCAACAAGCACCAAAACGAGAAACGTATCCGATAACTGATCTGGAGAATGGTATCATAGCTTGGGAACGACAAGATGATCCGTTGAATCCAAGGTAAACAATACCAAGTCCTTAATAACTAAATATGAAGGGAGTTGACACTAAGTGTATTAACAGAAACTATCCTGCCGTTCGAAAATGGTTTCTCCTCTCCCTCGTTAGCATGATTACTTTGGTTAGGTATATGTAACATGCGTGTTGTGTAATGCCAGCGATAGAAATGCAGCCACTAATATTCCAAAGCCCACTGTCATCATTGTGTAATGCCAGCGATAGAAATGCAGCCACTAATATTCCAAAGCCCACTGTCATCATCAATTTTTGCTCCAGCAGTAGGGAATGCGGCAGACGAATTTGATGTTACAGATTCGATATTAATATCCCTGGGCGTCAGTGCTTACTTATTTGGCTATGGTGTGAGTGTTACATATGTTTGTGCCCTGGTATTTCGATATAGCTAATAAGGGATAGTTTGGCCCGCTATTTCTATCACCACTCAGCGAAATTTACGGACGTCGAATAATTCTTAGTTTGTCGACCTCGGCTTTTGTTCTCTTCCAAATTGGATGCGCACTTGCCCCAAACTTCTCTTCCATTATCGTGTTTCGACTTCTCTCGGGGTTGGGAGGATCCGGATGTCTGACAATTGGAGGAGGTGTTGTATCAGATCTATTCGAGGCCGAAAACCGGGGCTTTGCTATGGCTATATTTTCTGCTGGTCCGCTCTTTGGACCTGTTCTAGGGCCTATATGCGGCGGATTCATTGCCCAGAATATTGGGTGGCGATGGGTAGGTGATGCTTCTCTTCATCAGCCATTGTTAGATTGTGAATGTACTAACTAAGTGACGCAGGTGTTCTGGATTCTAACGATTGTAGGTGGAACGCTTACCATCTTTGTCATGATCTTCAATCGAGAAACGAATCCCGCCATTATCATTAAGCGCAAAACAGAACGCTTGAGGAAGGAGCTCGATCGTCCTGATCTTCGCAGTTACTATGACGACTCTAGCAAAGACAAGAGCAAAACGGCGCATTTTATACACCGTCTAACAACTCCATTTCAACTGTTGTTCCGATCGCCCATCATCTTGATCGTGGCACTCTATATCGCCGTCGTATATGGTTGCCTGTACCTCCTCTTCACTACCATTACACAAGTTTTCCAAGACGTGTACCACTGGAGCGAACAGCTTAGTGGATTGGCTTACATTGGGCTGGGACTGGGGTTTGTCGCTGGCCAAGTTGCGTTTGGTATTTTAAGCGATAGAATCCTCATCAAGCTGAAAGCTCGCAACAATGGTGTCTTCGAGCCCGAAATGCGTCTTCCTCTCACCGTCCCGTTTTCGTTTTTTGTCCCAATATCGTTCTTTTGGTACGGCTGGTCTGTCCAAGCTCGTACTCATTGGATCGTACCCATCATCGGGTTATTTCCATTTGCCTTTGGCTTGATTGGGATCTTTGGGACTTTACAGACCTACGCTATTGACTCTTTCCCTCGCTATGCAGCCTCTGCTATCGCAGCCATTACTGTTACTCGATCTATTGCTGGCGCACTTCTTCCTCTTGCTGGTCCGCCGATGTATAAAGCACTCGGATATGGCTGGGGCAACTCGTTACTTGGTTTCGTCACATTGGCGCTGATCTTGATGCCCGTCCTTTTTAACCGTGTGGGGGCATCGCTGAGAAAAAGGTCCCCTTTACTAGAGGCCGCGGCTAAGTGAGACGTATGCCTCTTTCTCATTGTGCCTCTTTCAAAAAGTGTTTTGGTTCAGCTATAAACAAGGCTCAATTGAAGCAGTTAGGGCGGGATGCATGTTTATTGGAGCGTCTCCCGAGCTGCTAACTATAACAGCGACTGTGACTACGATAATAATGAGGAGAAGGAGAAACCAAAGCGAGAATCACATTGTTCAAAAGGTGGAGACAAAGTAAATAGTTAGAGGTTTATCCGGTCTTTTGAGTGCAGATTATATCTCAGGCGAAGGCGATCTGTCCAAGATTGTTAGTCGCTCGGATGAACATAGAAGCGAGAGATAGCCCCTCACGTTTCTGGTGAGAACATTTAATGGTATAGACTATATATGTATAAAAGACATGCGCTTCAAGGCAAGCTCAGGAACAAATCAAGCATCTTCGGGTAGTTTGGTGTACCCAGTCCTGTAACAGGATCCCACCCCTTCGTGGCGTTGAAGCCAAGAGTACCACAGCCAGGATTGGTTCCATTAGTGATATCGTTCAAAACTCCAGGGTTAGTGTATAACGTTGGGTTGATGAAGCCTAATGGTCCCTTGCCGACTTTGATGCGCTCTTCAACAATACGGTTGACGAGTGATGCGAAAATAGGAGATGACGCAGAGGTGCCACCGGATGTTCCTTGTTCTCCGCCGACCCAGACTGCAATATTGTCGCCGTTGGCAGCCACATCAGGGATACCTCGGCCGTTACGGTTGTAGATGCCTGTGCTGTTCTCATACTTGCCGTCCGTGTAGTACGGGTACGGCGGGTTGTAGTTCTTGAAGTAGCTGCTCACAGCTCCCTGCTGGTATTTGGGAACGGGGAAAATGTTGGAGAAGCCCTGCAATTCTTGATTAGCTATTATTCCCACTCCAAAATTATACAGTTGCACTTACACCACCGCTGCTAAAGTTGAATGACGGGCTGGGATCAAAGACAGCGCTCTCTGGGTCGTGGACAGTCTTGCCGGGGTAGACCTTGGTGGCTCCAACGTTGGTCAACCACGGGCAGCTGTTTGGCTGGGTGGGCGAGAACACATCGTCGTCACGTAAGCACCCATAAAAGTCTGATTGAGTCTCTCCGGGATATCCACCAACTCCGGTATCGCCGCTGGCCACGAAGATGGAAACGCCCTGCAGACCAAGCTTCAAAAACTCATTGCACTGACGCTGTTGGTAGTAGGCTGGGAGATCGCTCTCTTGCACACCGTACGAGATAGTGATGACATTGGTAGGCTTATAGACTCCGCACATCAACTTGCCCTTGTAACCACCGGCATTTGGGTCGGGATATTTGGGATCCAGCTTGGGATCGTTTCCTGTCTCTCCAAAGGCTGAGTAGGTACAGTAGGAGCCGTCAATAGCATCGAAGAAGGTGTTGAAAATTCCTCCGGTGGTGGAAGAGTTAGAAGTAGCATAGAAGGTATCATCAGTCTGATAGAGCGTTGTAGTTTGCGGGTAGATGATGGGATATGCGAGCTCGAAATCGAGATTGCTTTCACCACCAGCGTCGGCCACCGGTACAGGGGCTTTGCCACCGTCGATTGAGTCCAAAATCGGATGAGTGCCCTTGGGAACACTAGGAAAGTACTGGGCGAAAAACTTGTCAAAGTCTTGTTGCGCATAGTAATCGCCTTCTTCGAAGATGCCAAGAGAGTTATTCTTGCTGACTTTCGCATTAGGACTAGGTGCCTTGAAGCCATAAAGTGCTTGTAAGCATTGGGGCGTTATAACTTGATCACAGGTTGAGAGATCGCTCGATGACCAGCTTTTTGGTAGCTCAGGCAAAGGCTTCATATGCTGTTGGCGACGGCGAGATTTGCGCGTGGACTCGGCGTTGAGCGCTCTCTTGTCTCTTCGGCGGAGCTCCATCAACGTTCCCTTGACTCCGGGAGTGATATAGTCGACATGTTCCGAAACGTGGCTTGGAAGATGATACTCGTGAGCAGCGACTAAAGCCCGGTCTTGGTCGTCATGGAAGTACTCAGTGTGCAGTAAACTCTCCACTTCTTCCGTCGTGGCATCGAATGCTAGCCATACTTTGTTGTCGCTGTGAGTAATCCTTTCTTTAGAGATTCCAGACTTCTCTAGCCAAGCGGCCACTGTCTCGATGGCCTCATCGGTAGGCTTGAAAGCTTCAACGATCTCGTCTGGGCTCCAATGCTTTCCATACATGGAAGATCCGGGGTGGGATACTTCCATCAGCCAGTCCTCTGCCTGTTCCAGAGCCCTAGCATTTTGTTTCAGGCCTACTCGGACGGGAAGCACAACATCGGGCGAAACGCGTTTATGTAAGCTTGAGCGCGGCACAGCACGTTTCTCGTGGACGACGTGATTTCCTGGGACAGAACGGCCTGATGTCAAACCCAGGAGAGCAGCAGCTTGAAGGGCTGAAGAGAAGCGCATTTTGACAACTCTGAACACTGCAACCTATCTTTCACGGCACCAATCTTTCAGACACGATATCTCTTCTACGTCTACATAGCTGAGGGACCTCGACAAGCTTTATACTCCAATTGATACGGTCGGGGTCCATCATTACACCGTTAAACTAAGCCTTGCCCGCGTCGCATTCGACGATGATACCTTGGCTATGCATTGCCTATCGCGGGCGGGCGGTGCTTTTATGTGGCCGGGTTAGCGTTCCGAAATCGTCCATTCACCGATTAACGATTGATGTTATAGCCAGATTCCTGCCTAGTTGTACAATACAGAGCTTGCCAGGGGTATGATAGCTAGGTTGGTTCAGGAAGGTCAGCGAGCGTAGATCTTCGCCCACAGGCACTTTTGCGCCTGTATCCCCGCTACGGCTATCATCCCGGAAATCGAATGGTAGAGGGATCCGGCATTGTCGGCACATGTGACTGGAACTTTTGAGATGTCAATGAACATAGACGGAGAGAATCCGATGGCATCAGAAGATCCGTAGTGCAATGCAATGGATCATGTATCTTGGATAGCGTGGTTACAGCATATTTGTTAAAGCTATTAGTTACACCAACGATAACTGAGATTGGTTGGGGAGTTGTCAAATTCGCTCTTTTCACAGATCCACCAACATCATTTAGCTATGCTCATCTCTGGCACAAGTGCATGAGTTTTTGTCCTTGCAAGAGTAAGAAAAGATCACTGGCATAGCCTGTGCTTGATGTTTTATCAGTAGCCATTTACGTTCGTATGCCTGCCAATTGGGGCAGTGGCCACTTACATTCCTTCTTACTGCGCCTTGTCCGTTTAATGATCGTCAAAGCCACTTTGCATGAAAAGAGACCTCTAAGTATTCTTTTGCATCTAAAATATATACAAGTGAAATATTGCAAACTATTCCTCGATCACCACCAAGGCGAGCTCGGGAGTTCTTCACTGCCGATGAGTAGTAGTGAAAACAAGCAAAAAGAATGGATTACGCTGCGTAATCTGGGAATCGAACCCAGGGCTCCCCGACGTTGCTCGGATGGCAACGGAGAATTTTACCACTAAACCAATTACGCTTCGATATTTTGGGTCGACTTATTCTGATTTAACTCCTAGACATGGAAGAGCTGAGCTTGGCTATTGCATCATGAAGTTAGCCCAAAGAGAGGCTTCATCTGCATTCCTCATGAACTCTAAGATTGGCTGCTCGGCGAGCACTGTAAAGGCATTATTACACACTTATTACGGTTTATGTCTCTTATTTAACTAAGATGGAGAGCTATAAACGGTATCAGTAGATGTGACGCAGCAGGCAACATGACGTTGGTGGGATATCAGGGGGTAGGTATTATAGCGTCGACACTGTTCCTACTCAAAGCTACGGAAACGCACTCACTGTTTCTATTTCCGTATTATGTCTCAAGCCGGACACAATAGTACTTAAGAGTTTCTTGTTAAATACCTCGTCATCATGCCGCATGCCAACCCATTAAAATGGGTCGAAGTAGACGTTCCAAGCGCCTAATTTTAGGCTCAGCTCCCACCCAAAAACTTTCCGCAAATCTATCCACCAATGTTGCTTCCATCGTGTTTTATCATTGCGCGGATCTTGTCCGATAGGTCGACCATAAAGAAACTAAGAATCCCCAATACCATTAATACGACGATTGTTAAGTCTCCTGCTCTTTCACTTCCTACAACCTTTGTTTCAGAGCACTAGCATATGTACGTACTTTACTGTAACTAAGACTGCTGCTGGAGAGATCGTGAGAGCACCATGGCACCAAAGAAAAACATTCTTCTCGTCATCGCCGACGACATGGGCAAGTCGCTCGGCTGCTATGGCGATTCCACGATTTCGACGCCCAACATCGATCAATTAGCTGCTGAAGGCACATTGTTCGACAACGCTTTCGCCAGTACAGCCTCTTGCAGCGGGAGCAGATCGGTCATTTATACGGGGCTCCATACGCACCAGAACGGGCAATATGGACTGCAGCACAGCAACCATCATTTTTTGACCTTTGACCATATTGAGACAGCTCCCAAGCTTTTCCAGACTTTTGGCTACCTCACCGGCATCATTGGGAAGATTCACGTTGGCCCAGAAAATGTGTACCCATGGGAGGTGCGAAGAGAAAGCCCAACACGAGATGTTTCTTGGGTTGCAGAGGAAGCCGATTCATTCTTTCAATCAGCAAAGGAAGATTCACGTCCCTTCTTCCTCACAGTTGGCTTCATGGACCCTCACAGAGACTCAACTCGCGGAGGATTCGGCAACGGCGACGACAGCGTATCGGGTCCAGATGCCACTTACGACCCTGCAAAAATTACAGTACCTAGCTTTCTCAACGATATCCCCGAGGTCCGCCAAGAAATAGCAGAGTATTATCGATCCGTCGGTCGGGTGGACAGAGGATTTGGCCTGATTATGAATGCTTTGAAGAAAGCTGGCTTGGACGACGATACGCTTGTAGTCTTGACAAGCGACAACGGACCGCCTTTTCTCAATTCAAAAACTACTCTCTACGATGCGGGAGTGAGATTACCTCTCATCATAAGACGGCCACAAGGAAAATCTGCAGTGAAGAATCCAAATCTCATTTCATTCATCGACATTTTGCCGACTTTTATCGATTGGGCTGGACAAAGCCCTACTGCAACTTCAATGTCAAACTCTCCGCCTCGGCCAGGCCGTTCATTTCTTCCCATCATTGACCAAACTAGTGTACATGACAATTGGTCTAGAGTATTCGGATCTCATACTTTTCACGAGGTCACAAATTACTATCCCACAAGATTTTTGCGCACAGCGAGATACAAATACCATCGCAACATCGCCTGGAAGCTCGACTTCCCCTTCTCAACTGATCTTTATGCCTCTCTGTCATGGGAGGGAATTCGAAACTCGAAATTCCCAATAAAGGTTGGGGAGCGACCATTGGAGGCATACATCCGCCGGCCCCCCGAAGAGCTGTATGATATGGACGAAGATCCGAGGGAGGTACAAAATCTCGCGGATCGCCCGGAATACAAAGAATTACTGATGGAATATCGACAAGAGCTAGAGGCTTGGCAGCGACTAACGCAAGATGCGTGGCTGGTCCGAGATGGAGTGTCGTTGTCGGAAATGCAAGGACACATAGATGCCGGATTGCAGATCCCAGATCGTTTCGATTTCGACCTTGCAGCACCTGGAAATAAGGCGCTGTAGTCAGATTGGTTCCGAGATCTCATCTCACTCAATTATAGAGATCATTCTTGGGTTAGTCCACTCAGCGTTTGGGTCCTGATCATCGTCCTCGAGTATTTGGGGTTGTCTGACAACACTACTTGAGATTTCTTGCATCTTATCATGCAGGATTTGCAGCTTAATATTGTTGTCGCTGCCGCCGCGGAAATGTGTCAGAAACTGGGCAAGACGGTTTAGAACATCTTTCGGGCCAACGTTCATCAGCTGTTTGCCCTCAAAGTTCGATGGAAGACAGAGCAGAATATCGGCCAAAGACATTGCCACTTCAAACAGCTTCATTTCCTACAGGGACCAGGATGTTAGCAACGGATTCCTCTCAGCCATTTCAACCATTTACATACCATTCCAAGACCATGCGCCTCGATGACAGACCTGGGAAACAATTCTATATTTCGGGCTACATTTCGTGCGATCCGATCCGGAAAGCAAATACTAAGGCCTTCATCTGTCGCGTCGGACGAAAGATTGATGTAGTACATTGACGTTTTCCACAAAACAACTCTCATCCATTGCTGCGTGAGGAGAAAGTCTGCCTTCTGTAAGTCAGTGGAACTATGAGGACCCTGGCTGACCTCTCGCAAGCGGTCATGCATAAAAGCAAAATATTCTTGCGTCTGAGAAGTCCCGTCGCCATCCATCGCACGAGCAAAACTCTGGAAAAGCTTGCTTAGGCTAATGAAGGCAAATAAAATTGGAGGGTTCTCGTCTACTTCCAGCTCAGGTAACTCGGGGTCAAGTTGTAATATCCTGGGAAAGTCAAACCGGGTAGTGTGTCCTCTGGATGTTGAGTTTATCAGCAAAGCTACGTCATAAGTTGGGTTAGAACAAGAAACAATTCACTCACCTTTCCGTCACAAATAGTAGCCAAATAACCCGAAGGTGAAGCTGAGCTTCAAGTTTAGGCAGTCCAGAGTAATGCAGCGCTTTATCCAGGCCCAGCATCTGTGCAAATGTGACGGCTTCACGTAACAGCATCGCTCCCTTTCGTATATAGCCGCGGTTTGCACTCGACACATGCAAAAAGAAGGATGATAATAAGACACTTATAGATGGATGCTCTAGATGGTCCATTTCGTTTCTCGCCCTTGAAGCTTCGGCAGCCATGAACGCGCCATCGTCACCCTCAAAATGACTAAAGGTCTCATCAGAAGAAAGCTTGAGCTGTGCGACTGTAACTGCGCTGACTGCCGCGGCAAGGGCGTATGCTTCGATGTCAGTAGAGTCCTGTAGTCGATACAGCAACTTTTCTATATTCACAACTGGCCAAACGGGATATAAAGCTTGTTGATAAAGTTCGAGATAATGGTCAAATACCGCGAATGGGATACGGTTCAAGCCAGGGTAGATATGAGGCTGAACTGACGGATGTTGATAAGTTGCGTCGCCATCAGATATCGGTATTGGAGACTTTCTATTGATCATCGCCTTCTCCATCGCCATTCGCTTATTCAACAGCGCTTCTCGTTTCTTCTGAGCCCATGGCCCCTTGGGCCCGGCCTTCAGCCGTCTTCTCTCGGCCACACATTGGATCGACAGACTCTGGCAGCGTCTACACGGCAGCCCGCGATCACATTTCACTTTTCGAGCTGCGCAAGCATCGCAGGCCCGTTCGCGAGCCATGTTAATTCCCACTTCAGGCTGCATTTGTCAGTAAGTGGTACAGGTTGCAAAGGATTCGAGTGGCCCCCTGTTTGACATGCACCCTCATCTCAAGCCATCACATAAAGTTTGCTGCTAGTCATCTTCAGTGGGGCCAAGCCATCAGCTTTGTGGAGATTAAGGGATGCGGGGATGAAGATGATGGGATTGTCCACACGTGGCTGTCGAGATTGATCGGCTTGGCATGTCGTATCGTTAGATAGAGTAATTACATTGAACTTGTCGTCACATCTGGGCCGCACAACAACGTTCACGCATGCCAGATTTCCAACGACGAGAAGCTGGAGACGACTCAAGTTCTGCGGTTTACGTTGGTGGTGTTTAGCTTATTGCGCCATAGGACTAAGAGCTACGCGATGGCAGCAAAGGACGCTGGGCGAGTCAGCACTGCCATTCACTATAGTCGCCTCTTTTCCTCTAGACTAGCCTGGGAGCCTCTGACAGGCGGAAAGATTTTTGATGGCGCGGAAAGATTTTCTAGCCTTCAACGCACATGATCGCGCCCATAAACCCTTCCATTGTCAACTCCAAACTTGGCTTCTCGGCCATACACGATCACGACATGCTCGTAAAATGACTATCACTTCCATAGTCGCAAGACGATATCACCTAGTCCGATTTCCGGCTGTTTTGGTAACGGAAGAATGCTTTGGCAAAGGCGCAATGGCCCCCTAACGCGCACATAAACGTGTATATATATGCACAGCTGCACCCCGTGGCATTGTTAATACCGTCGCATGCTGTTGAGTTTATAAAACAGCATTACCGAAAATGGGCTTTTCATTTGTTCGTCAGAACCGATTCGCTCGGCATTTTACCCCTCGTCTGGCCCTTTCTGTGGCTCTGATCGCCTTATCTACCTTCAACTATGGCTTTGACAACCAAGGCATTGCGACGAGTCAAGCAATGCTTGCGTATAAGAAGCAGTTCGGAGACTTCAACCCCAAGACCAATACATATGCTGTCCCAACATACTACCTGTCCCTCTTGAATAGCCTCAACTTTATAGGATTCGCCGTTGGTAGGTCGAAAGCCAAACAGAGCATGCCTTCAGAAGTTCTTATATCTAATATATGACGCTTTCAGGTCTTTACGTTGGCAGTAATATCAGTGCCAGATATGGCCGTAGAATGGCCATGTTCTGCATGTCCCTTTGGGCTATCATGTCTGCGACTGTCCTCATCTCCGCTACGACCAGAGGACAGGTACTCGCCGGCCGCATCCTCAACTATACATATATAGGAATGGAACTAGCTACATGTCCTCCATTCCAAGCAGAAATTGTTCCAGCGCCAATCAGAGGTTTCGCTGTTGGAACGTATCAAACCAGTCTATTGCTCGGTGGCGTAATTATCAACAGTGTTTGCCGTGGCACAAGCGAGCTCACGTCCAACGCGGCATGGAGAATTCCGATGGGTCTCTTTTACATCGTGCCCATTACGGTAGCATCATGCGTCTGGTTTATTCCAGAGTCCCCTAGATGGCTACTTCTGCAAGATAGAGAGGAAGATGCGCTTCGGTCTCTCCAAACGCTTCGCGGCTCCGACCCATCATACAACGCTCTTGAAGACCTTGAAGTACTGCGGCTGTCTCTGATCGACGAACATAATCAAGGACGGTATTCAGATCTTTTCCGCGGCACTAATCGGAGGCGTACTCTCGTCGCTATGGGCATGAACTTTTTCATCCAGGCCACAGGATCGCCATTCACTGCTGCGTATGGAACTCTCTTCGTACAGTCAATTGGCTCAATCAATCCATTCAACTATTCCATTATGAGCTCATCCATCAATTTCTTCTCCTGTCTTGTTGGCATCTCCATCACAGATAGAATTGGCCGTCGCCCAATCTTAATGACCGGCTCTGTGCTTCAGGTCATCTGGCTGTTTACAATGGGAGGCATTGGAACAGCTGCAAATCCTTCCCTTGCTCAAAAGAAAGTCATCGTTGGCGCCACGGCATTATCGTCAGCCAGTCTGACTTTTAGTTGGGACCCTTTGAACTACATCGTCACAACGGAGCTCCCAGCATCAAGACTCCGCGATAAGACTCAGAGAGTTGCCTCCATGGTTAATATTGTAACCAAGTGAGTTTTGTATACGTTACTGGTTATAGAGACATTAAACACTAACATTTTGACTTTTAGCTTTCTCTTTTCATTCTTCACTCCATACCTACTTAACGCCCCATATGCGGATTTGCAGTCCAAAGTGGGATTCATATTCGGGGGGCTGGCTATATGCTCTTTCCTATTTGCATACTTCTGTGTCCCTGAGATGAAGGGAAGAAGCTTGGAAGATATTAACGAAATGTTTGACAAAGAAGTGCCGACCCGGCAGTTTAGGAATTATGTGTTGGAGCACAGGGCAGAGGGCAAAGCAGAAGTAATTGAGATGGAGAAGGTCAAGGTCAAAATGGACAAACCGGCAGATATCCATATAGCATAGAGCTGTATATTATTTCTGAACCGGCGCCACTGTCTTTGGCGCATTGTTACATATAATGGATGGATAATGTTGCGCAATTGTTATTCGTACATCATGCCTTGAATGTTTGTATGATGAGTCTCATGAGCGCGAGTAGTGCAAGCACAAGGATAGATGCGTAATGTATAAATGTAGA